TCTCGATATGTTTTATCAACAGGCTACCACAATGGAAGGCGCTCTGCTCTCGTATAATTAACAAAAAAAACAAAAACAAAAAAAAAGAAGAAGGCGGAAAAAGAAAAACCACAATGGAAAGCGGAGATGAGGAGGAGGAGGAGGAGGAGGAGGAGGAGGAGGTCGAGGAAGAGGAGGAGGGAGGGTTTTTTTTTTTTTTTTTTTTTTTTTTTGGAAGTTTTCAGAGGAGGAGGGAGTTGCGTAGTGCAGCAGCGAAATTGCTTTCGGATTACATTGCATGAATTTTTCTTTCTTCTTTTTTTTCTTTTTTTCATTAATTTTTTTTCGTTTTTTTCTAATAAATTAAAAAAAAAAAAGAAACGGCAGGTAAGGGCTTAGGACTCTCCCCCCCTCCCCAAAGGGGGCCCCAAAAAAAAAAAAAAAAAATCCTTTCCAGGTGTAATTCTCGGAGGCACGGGGAGGCGCACCTCACTTTGACGAAAAATTCACACATGTAGATGATTAGCATGGCCCCTTCACACGTGTATCTGTTTTTTACCAGAATACTGCCGTCATTACGGTCAGGTTCACCTCAGAAAGTCCAGCAGTGCGCATGTCTTTCGTCGCCATGGCCGATCCTTGGCGCCCGTCATGCCCGGCGCGTCCATCGCGCAGACCATGTTCACACGTGCATGTTCTTTTGGCTGAATCTGGCCGTGGTTACGGCCGGATACATCTCAGAACGTCCACGTATAGAGGAGACACGTGTATGTATGCTCTCGACAGAATCTGGCCGTCAATACGGTCACATGCATCTCAGTAAGTCCAGCCGTGAATACGCAAGGCTTTTGGTGAATGAATCTAGCCGCAATCACAGCCCGACACCACATGACCGTTCCTTGGCTGCCCCGCTTCCCTTCTACTATCAGCGGCAGCGCTTGTCCAGCGCCCAAGGGGGGCGTTAGGGTTCGCCGGGATACCATCGGCGGACGGGAGGGGGGATGGGAAGGGGGGATTGGGAGGGGGCCTGGGCCCGGGGGCCCGAGGGGCGGGCGAAGGCGGGGAGGAACGCGCAGCGTTGGCGGGGAAGAGGGGGACCAAGGGGCGGGGGAAGGCGGGGAGGAACGCGCAGCGTTGGCGGGTGATCGGAGGGCCGACGGGACGCGGGAAGGGGCCCGTACACTGCGTACAGAGCTTACCGTTCAAGCTCGATAGGTGAGACACTGAAGTTTCTTTTTTTTTTTTTCTTCTGAAGTTTCAACCGCGGCGTCGCAGTTTCTAATCCCTGCCGAAAAAGAAAAAAAAACACTCTTGCTTACTGATTCAAGATCGTGATATTCGATTGCATGGGGCTAAAATCTTGGCACCGTCCTTCGGGACATCCGCTAAAATTGGATCGATACAGAGAAGATTAGACAGGCATGAATCGGAAATCTTGAAACCGGCTGCACATGAGATTCTCTTCTTCTGATCGGCCTTTTTTTTCTGACCACTCCCTCATCTGATCTGGGTTCGAACTCCGGCCTATTTCAGCAGTTCGTGGGTGTAGAAACTGAGATAGGCCGGTTGGAAGGTTTTCTTTGAGGTCCCTCTTCTTTCAGAGCCACCTTTTGCATTGATCTGGGGCCGTGTCCCGCGGTCACAGCCGCGGTGACCGCGCCGGTCATGGGGATTCGTAGGTCACACTTGTCGAGCTTTAGTTCCGGTTTCGAGTATAGATGGCTTCCTGCCATCCGGTCTGAAAATCTCACAGTCGCGGTGAGACCACTGAGATAGGCCGGTTGGAAGGTTTTCTTTGAGGTCCCTCTTCTTTCAGAGGCACCTTTTGCATTGATCTGGGGCCATGTCCCGCGGTCACAACCGCGGTGACCGCGCCGGTCATGGGGATTCGTAGGTCACACTTGTCCAGCTTTAGTTATGGTTTCGAGTATACATGGCTTCCTGCCATCCGGTCTGAAAATCTCACAGCCGCGGTGGGACCACATTGGAAAATGTACGAAACATAGACTGGACCCCCACTGGTGGGATATGGCCCCTGGTCCTCCCTCATTCCATAAAAGTTTGAACCACCAGGACGCCCGAACGTCACGGCAGTGCGATGTGCTGGGATGAACAGGCCTGGCTGCTCTCGTCCAAATTCATTCAAGTGGAAACATTGCAGCTCTACTTTTCACTGTGGTCGGTGTATGGGCGAAGTACCCCGAAAGTCGCGGCCCATGTACGGGTTGTCACCAGTACCCCCGAAAGTCGCGGCCATATACAACCCACGGCGCGCTCGGATGAACGGACCTGGACTGGAGCACCCAAATTAATTCAAGCGGAAATGGTTCTGGATTATATTTTCCCGCGGTCGAAATATGGTGGTTTAATCACTTCAAGGACCCTGGTCGTCTTTGCTGCAGTGGCGACCCTTGCGAACAATAAGATATTGTGAGTTCTAAACCTTTTGGTCTCGCTCATGATGCAATGTTATGCAGTTGACCATCGGTCTGCTCTGTAGGCAACCCTAGGGTAGGGACAACATCGTGGATTCAAATCATTATAGGTCCAAATCTCTAAATCTCAACAAGGAGTCGTTTGCACCTCACGGTTTGCTTGGTTCACAATACTCACCATTGTGGGTTCGAATCTCTTACGCGCGTTGTTCGCAATCTTACACTAGGCAAATCGTCACTTAAGTTTTCATATAACAATGTTGTAGGCGTTTGGTGCTAGTGATTCAACGTTGGGGTGATTGTTCGTACTTGCACGCATTGCTCTGCGCCCACGTGGTTGCATGGGTTTGTATGGATGTGGAGTGGAAAGCAATCAGACTCTCCAGTCTTAAGCGCAACTTATGCGTCGGCGTAGTATGTGTAAGTGTTTCTTATTTGTATGTGAGGTAGTGATTTGTGCATTTGTGCTCCAACCCATTCACTTGTTGTAACCTTTAGACCTCTTTGTAGTAGTTGTGCCCATGTGCTTATATGTGTTTGGAGTTTGAAGTATGCATGTATGTCTATGTGTGCACACAAGTGTCAAGAAGAGGGTCAAACAAACATGTAGGTGGTTAGGATGTCATATGGCTCGTCTTGCATCTTGCACAAGAAAATCCAGTTGCAAAGTAGTCAAGTGGCGAAACACGGCACATATGCAAAATTAAATGAACGTATTATAAAATATGAGGAAGCTCTCTCTTACCTTTTGATAGTTGTATAATGATATTATGTTAACCTTTAATAATCGACATTAATAAATATGGAAAATAAATATGATGATAATTTTTCTCATCAATAACTTTTAAACTTGAATCCCATAAATAGCAGTATCATGTAATGTTTTTGTTTTCCTTGATTTAGACGTCGGCATTTTCTCATCTTAACCCCTTTAATAACATACATCAATACATCATTGTGAAATAAAAGATGAGAACAGAAACTTAACATTGATTAGAGAAGAAAATTCTTATACTGAATGAAAAACTTTGGCTCATCGTTTTCTATAGTGACGTCCAGTTTTGTCTTTCAATACTCATGACTGTCAGCAACGAGGAGGTGACATAAAAGGATGTGGTTGTGGTGGGGAGGGACAGAAAAGTCACACCCCTTATGACGATTCATTGCCCTTACCGGACTAAAACACGTACAATTGTTAATAAACTCATAACAATGCCAAAATGTTTTGACATAATTTTTTTTTTCGAAGATCAAACAAGGAGTACAAAGTTTGTTTATGGATGTGCATACCTTGTCTTTGTAATTCTAGCAATACGTACGAAACGTGATGGAAGAAGAGTCGCAAAGATAAATATAATTAGTTTTTTCAATAAGAAAATTTTTACAGAATTAAATAATAATTTCATCTAGGCTACCAACTGGGCCGCCCGGGTCACCCTATTTTTCCGGACGGCCCAGCCGTACAAGGATTAGGGAAGGTCATAGTAAAAAAAAATAAAAAAAAATCAAAACAATCCGAAACACAAACTATGGTATGCAGCAAAATAAATTGAACAACTTTTGCCTTAGGGTTACATCAATTTTTTTTACCAAATTTGAAATAAAAAATAAAGTTAAAAACTAATTTTGATTTTTTAATTTTTGGATTTTTTTTTTGCTCGGCCGGGCAAGTGGCCCCGGACCACTCTGGTAACCTAAAATTTTATAGTAAAATTTTATAATAAAATTAAATTTTAAAATTTAAATTTTTATTTCTTTTAAAAAACGTCATTCTACTTTTAAAATTTTCCTACTTACTTGAAAAATCACCTTTCAAGAATTGGGTATCCTTTTTTGTTTCAACTGCATGTTAGAGATAGAATGAAAGTCTGAATGAGTTTGTATAGTTTGTAAGTTTGACTATCATTCCGTTATAAGGAATTTCAGTCATAAATAGGTGAGGATTGTCATAGTTTGTTTATGACCTTGGTTGTGTGGCATCGTGTTCCGAACCTGAACATTCGGGACCGAATGCCGAAACTCTCCGAACGAGAATATAAAAATTTAGGTTACATGATCTAGGTTACATTTGTGACGATATATATATATATATATATATATATATCGTCACAAACAGAACTGCCCGGTAAACCGTAGGCAGAGAGAGAGAAGAGGACAACAAACGAGGGGCTGTGACAAACTGTTTCGTCGGAGTTTCACCGACTCATCAAGAGGCTGAACCTTGAACAGTCTGCAGAATCCCCTCACTGATTACACTGTAAATGATAATCTACCTTAATATATGTATATATATATATATATATACAGGGTTGTCGGCGTTCGTTCGGGCCGAACGCGAAAAAAAAAATAAAAAAAATAAAAATCAAAACATTCCGAAAAAAAATTTGTTATGGAAAAAAATAAACTAAACAACATTTGTCTGGCCCCTACACCCAAATTCTTTATCAAATTTGAATTAAAAATCAAATACAGAAAATAACACTATGATAAAAATAAGAAGAAATAAAAAGAGAATTAAAATGAGTGAGTGTGCCAGCACCTTTTCGACACCGCCATCTTTGCCGATTTTTAATTATTTTTTGGCATTAACAAATGCCCTGAAAATTTACAAAAATGTATTTTACATAATCAATAACTCATTAAAAATTTTTCAAAAAATAATAAAATTGTTTAGGCCCTTAAATAAAGTGAAAACAAAAAGTTAAAAGTGAAAAMAAACAAAATAGTGAGTGGGCGAGCACGTTTTGACACCCCCATCTTTGACGATTTTTAATGTTTTTTTGACTTAGCAGAATGACTTCTAAATTTATATGGGTGAAGGTTACATCATATAGAACTCACAAAAAAAAATTCAGAAAAAACAAATTATCTTTAGGCCCCGAAACGTTTTTTGGCGGGGGCCGAACCTGGAGGTGTTCAGCCCCCGAATGGGACCCCGAACCCCCGAACGTTCGGGGGCCAGCCCGGGGGCCCCCGAACGTTCGGTCAGGTAACCTTGTATATATATATATGTATATATATATTTATTTTCACCATGACTGGGCAAGTGGTCCCGGACAACTCTGGTATCCTAGTTTTAAAGATTATAAATGAGACACAAGACTCGTTTATGGACTTGCATACATTGAGTGCAATTTAAATTTTATCCTTATACTTATAGCAATCAGTATAAGGTATGATTGAGAAGAACCACAAAAACATATAGTTAATTCATTTTTTTGTTTTCTTTACAAACTTCCAAAGGCAGTTAGTTATGTAAACGCGCGGTTGGTAACCCCTTCATCT